GCACCACAATAGGTTCAGTCTGAGTAGCGAAAGATTTTATTAGTCCATTACACTAAAATCCCTATTACTCTTCTTCATTTTCATTCAACTCTGGTCCCCTGGTATCTCATCAGTGACAACTCCAGAGAGGGAGGATATATTTGGTGGTTAACACACAGGGCAAAAATCACCATACTACATCCCCCATCCACGACATTCCGAGAGCGGGTGCAGCGAGAGAGCACAGGCCGCTCTTTCTATTCAACCTCCTCTATTTGCATGAACCTACACACAACTACGCCCCACTAGTTGTCCACAAAGCAAGCGCACTTGGATTGTGAATTCATTAGACTAATATAATTAATCAATAAAATATTATTATTTATTCAATATATATTTGATATAACAATATTTACTAATCAACCCGTTGTGCCAACCTATAGGGATACTAAATATGTGTTCTGGAGTCAAACTTCCATGAACTATGATTGACTCAATCACAATCAACAATCAAAGTCAATAATAGTAATTAATTACAATCAATCAATCAGTTTGTGTCAACTAAAAATGTCATTAAAACAGTAAGTGTGTGTTAGAAAAAAGAAAGTGTCTCTGTCTCTCCGCTCTCCGACAGCTCCGTGAAGGCAGCACGAGTAGGGGCGGGGTCTTGTGTGCGTACGTCAGAGAGAGAGAGAGAGGGAGAGAGAGCGAGAGCGAGGCTGAGCACACACACATACACACACACACACACACAGAGTGAGCGGCGCCATGCACTGCCGTCGCACCGACAGCTAGCCGAGCAGAAATGCCACCTGAAGACGCGGCCGCGAAATGCTCGACCGAGGCGGGCAAACGTTTGTTGTTTCGCCGCTCCGCGATGTGAAGAAGAGAGTACGTGTGATTTAAAGATGGCGATGTGTTGAGTCGAACCGTTACCGTCTCGCTCGGGTTGTAGCGTGGCAACGGCAGTGGAACGTTCCAAAGTTGTCGGTTAGCAGGGCGCGTGTGAAGGATCGGACTTAAAGGGCCAGCGCAGCCGTTGGAGCCGCAAACATGGAGAAGCAGCAGCAGCAGAGCGACCTGGAGCGAGAGCGGCAGTACTGTGAACTTTGTGGGAAAATGGAGAACCTCCTCAAGTGCGGTAGGTGCCGGAGCTCCTTCTACTGCAGCAAGGAGCACCAGAAGCAGCACTGGAAGAAACACAAGCTCATTTGTAAGGAGGCGGACAAGCCGCAGCTTCCCAAACAGAAGCCCGAGGAGACGACCCCGCCGCCGCCGCCTCAACCGCCTCAACCGCCGCCGCCTCAACCGCCTCAACCGCCGCCACCGGGGGACGACAAGGCGCCGGAGAAAGCCCCGGAGCAGGCGGACAGCGCAGCTTTACCACAAACCACAGTCGCGTCTGGGCTCGGCGACAGACGGGGAGAGGACGGGTCCTCCAACGACACCGCCACACCTAACGGACAAACTAGCTCATCCCCTCAGAAACTCGCCACGGAGTACATAGTCCCGTGCATGAACAAGCATGGCATCTGCGTGGTGGACAACTTTCTAGGAGCCGAGACCGGGCTGGGCATTTTGGGCAACGTGAAAGCCCTGCACAAGACCGGCAAGTTCACGGACGGACAGCTGGTCAGTCAGAAAAGTGACTCCACTAAAGACATCCGAGGGGACAAAATCACGTGGATCGAGGGGAAGGAGCCCGGCTGCGAGAAGATCCGCTTTCTAATGAGTCGCATGGACGACCTGATTAGACATTGTAATGGCAAACTGGGAAACTACACAATAAATGGAAGGACAAAAGTAAGTATGGCAGCAGGTGGAGACACAAGCAAGTATACTTTATATATAAGTGGGTGGTTTCAGTTTCTGGGGGGGGAAAAATGTCGATTATCGCCTCAAAAAAAGGGGGAAATGTTTGAATAAGTGTGTGAAAGAAGGTGGGGAATGCATATAATTGTCCAGATATATGCAGTTTTACATTCAAACTTACATAAAACAGCATTAAATGATAAAAAAAAATCGATTAACCTGTTAGATAAAACACCTGAAGATGTCACAGACTTGCAGCTGCCATGTAAGTTATTTAAATTATGAATAAGTTGCAGGTATTTAAGTGGTCTTTAAGTATCTTAGTCCTGTTTGCTAATTAGACCTGACTTTAAGTGTAAGAGGCTAAAGCCCTGAGTCAGAAAGGTGGATTATTTCTTCAATACGCGGCTTTCACAACTCCTCCTCAAACATTTATAACATTTTCCATTTAAATGAGTCATTGTTTTCATGTTAAAACACTTAAACTGAATCAATATGCACCAGAATAAGATATAACTGGATGCACATGCTCAATGGTTTGACTCAATATGCTCATTTTAGAGGGTTTAGTTTGATTTTCTAACGTTTATCTACCCGATACATTGACTGGACACCTGTCTGAGTGCTGTAACGTTCATAAAGGTTGGATTTAATGCCGGGTTGTTTGTTTGCAAGCGCTGATTATTTTCTCAATGAACTACCTGCTCTATAAAAGGACAGAAAATAGTGGAAAATACCTTTCACAAAGACCGAAACAGACTGCGACCTTTGACCCAGCGGTGTAAAGGCGCAGAGCTAAAAGAGTTCAGTATTTCACAGTTGGTAAGACGGAGAGGAAGACCGACACGTTTCAGATTTGGAGGAAACTGTGGGCAGCTTCTGTGTCACGGAGGTGCGTTTTCTAAGAAAAGAGGTGATGGGTAACGACTCAAACATCTCTCACTGTTACCGTTCTCCAGTTGCGGTGTGCTGTGTTTATAAATGCAGCCTAACGTCAGCCCAAAGCAATGTCTGCTGGTGGGTTGCGTGTGATCTGCGAGTCCTCTTTTTAACCAGATCTGGTCGCCGCCACGACCTTGTGATATGAGACGGACCCAGGAGAAACGCTCTCTTACGCCCCTCCTGGGGGGAAATACTCTGGAGTGGACTGACACACAGAGAGAAGTTAATCTGAATCCCCCTCCAGTGCTGTTATTTAAGAAATGCAAACGTCTATGAGGTACGTCTGAACGACACTGAAGCAGCCCTGCCTTTGTGAATTTAGTTTTTGAATGTTAAATAAGCTTTATGCTCATTTTGGAGGCCACAGTTTCAGACGTGCGTTTGTTTTTCGGCCACATTTATCAAAAAGTTATTGGTTAAATAGTAGAAACGTGAGTCAGTGTAACACAATTAAATGAAACAGCACCGCAAACTGCAGCCGTTATATTAACTAACACCTCTTTAGATATAAAACCTGAACAGTATAACCTTCACTAATCTGACACACGCTGTCTTATCTTATGTTAATGCATCACGAGCTCTTTTCTTTCCATTTTTCGAGGAATTTTACAACACATTTAGTTTTATCTGCTGACTCACTTCTGTGTTTCAGTTCTCCTTGCAAAGACGTTTTAAAAAGTTAAACATTTGTAGACACTGGAAGAGCCCCGATCGCCCGCCCGCTGTTATTCTTAAGCTGCTGCTCCTGGCCGGTTCTGAGCAGACGTGAAAGCACATTATTTCAGCGAGCGGTTGTGATCCACGCCGCCTGAGTCAAACTCCGCGGAGAACTTCCTCACCTACTGCCCCAGTTGCTTTGGCAAACCACACGCCTGGACCGCGACCAGCGCAAATCAGCATGACTTGCACGAATGGACGGCCGCCGGTATCAATGGCTCAAAGGGATACAGCACAATGTAAGCACAATTCACGTCGGGGGGGAAGATAGAGGGGGAAAGATTCTGCCAAAAACTGTTATTTAATGTCATTGTTTCCATTTCCCCCACTTGATAACATTGTGGGAAGTCGCAGGCAGCGGGGCGTGTTTGTTTCTCTGCAGCTCCAGCACGCCGAAGCCTCGCGGACGCCACTACAGCGTCGTCAGGGAACGTATAGAGAAGTCCCATCGCTGACTCGCTGCTGCCGGCTGCAGTGTCGGTATGTTCAGACTGCAGCTTGATAAGACGAGGCTGCATTACAAACAGTCTTACTGCTGCTGGACAAAGCTCGAACTTACATCTTTATGTTGGACACGAAACACGACCTCTCGGTTTAGGTGACAGGTGCAGTAGCCAACTTACAGTATACTCACTCTGATGTTGTCAGATCTCTTCATAGGCGAAAAAAGTAATTAATAACTAATAATGTACTTCATGGTTTAGAATAATGTATCTGACAATCATTAGAATCAATGAATGAAACACAACTAAAGCTGAAACGATAAGTTCATTAATCCATTAGTCAACGAAAACTAATCACGTTTTGTGTTGCAGAGTCTTAAAAACTCTAAAACTAAAAAAATATTCAATTAAAAAGTTAATGTTATTTGTATAAAGTTGCATTTTTCAGTCCTGATTTTAAAAATATGTATTGATCACGCTGTAACAACTACAAAACCAAACAATCACAGAATCAATACGGATACAGATTCCTTCTTATTTACCGGTATGGACCTGAAAAAGGTCTTAAATTGGCTCATAACGGACTCAGAAGTCTTAAATGTGGTTGAAACTCACAGAATAAACATTTTAAGATGTCGCCTTGCACTTTAGGATTGTGCAAGTGTTGACATTTTATGAACCAAATGATTAATTGATTTAAGAAACTAGTCAACAGATTAATCGTTAACGAAAATAACTGTTTGTTCTCGAATTTCCATTAAAAAACCAGATAAAAGACAAAAACAGTTTATTGGGTTAATGTTGAATCCGTAACAGTATTTCATCGTTTCCACTGAAAACTGCTGACAGACGCAGTTTAATCTAAACAGTGTTGTGTTTGATAACGAGAGTTTTTATATTGTTGAGCAACCGTGGACGTGTGTGCTTTCATAAGGAAGTTGACCGTTGACCTAAATCTCACAGCTCTATAGAATAAGTAGACCAGAGGAAGTCATGTGGCGGCTGTACGTTACCCTATAGGCCGCGTTTGAGCCGCATGCCACCTTTTTCCTGCTGATTGTTTCACCATCATACAGTAAAACAGTAATGCTTCTTCAGTAAGACGGGCTCTGAACGCGTGCTCAGTAGCAGACGTCAAGCATTGTGACTTTAATTCACTCAGATCCTCGTTGTCCTAACTTTGGGCCCACGCTTATCTCTCGGTTTACTGTGCCGTGACTGTCTAAGCAGGAGCTGGCCGCGGTCCAAGTGGAGCTTTGAGTCTGCGGAGGTGAAGACGAGGGTGATTTATGGCGTTAAAGAAATCAGCATTTTAAAAAAAGCTATTTGTAAAGTGATAACGTGCACTACATCAGTTCAATATATATATATGAACCTGTTTGATAAGTTTAAGGTTGATTTTAGAGCTCGTATCACCGTCTCTACTCCTTTTCTTCAAAGCAGCCGAAGCACTTTGACTTTGTATTCAGCTCTTCTGATATTTCTACCTCTGGCAACAAGAAAGTATCAGTGACTGATCCAATTACAGAATGAGCTCCCTTGGCTCCCACACAGGCACGATGGAGCCGTACGGTCCAACCGAGCAGCGCCACTGCTGCATACGTCCCTCTATTGTTCACAGCCTACTAAAGAAGGACAGAATAAACTGGGTCATTACTTTAAACAGGGATTTCCTCTGGAGGCCGCACCACTGTCCCACAGATAAACCAGCGCTGGGGCCCACACTGTCTTGGTTCCCACACTCCCCGGCTCTACAAGGTCTCCATCAGCTCGTGTTTGGACAAGCATCTCTTCTGTGAAGTGAGCAGACCCCTCGCAGCTTTTTCCTTTCGTGCTCCGCCCCGGTTCACTGATGGCAGCGCAGTCCGCCCAGGTGATCGGGTTAACTCAGGGTGAGATTTAGGTTTATTATTAATTAGTTTCTGGTGATGGATCGAGTGGTTTGATGAAGTGTAAGTAAGGCTTGTCAAATTAATCGAAAAAATTTGATCGTGAAATTTACCGAATTTTTGGGGCCAAAAACGATTCTCAAAAAACTTAATAAAAAATTCGGGGGAAACCGATTTTATGTTATTTTTCATTTTCTTGTTGTTAAACGTTGTTTAGCAGTGCTGCGTAATTTCCTTGTCCGGCACTGCACAACGAAGTCCTGCGCTCGGTAATACATCGCCGTAAACTATTCTACTTGTCGCTTGGCGGTCGCGAAAACACTCGCTTGCAAGTCGTCCCCTGTTCGCGTTGTTTTTCCTTTGAACAAGGGTAACGAGGAAGACTACAATATGTTTAGGGGGGAAAGCGAAAGTTGTCCAACTGAGGACTTTCCTTGCAAAAAGTTGGTTTCTGACCAAAATCAATAAGTTCTGAAAGTTTAAAAAAAAATAAATCGTTTTTTGATAATCGTGATTTAAAATTTTGACCCCAAAATAATCGTGATTTAGGTTTTTTCCATCATCGAGCAGCCCGAGTTTCTGGTGATGGATTGAGTGGTTTGATGAAGCATTGAGGTGTTATAAATAATAAAGTATAAACTGTAATGTAGTATGTGTTGTATACGCAGTGAGAACAGATTGTTGGCAGGTACGCATACAAATGTATACAGCTTATTAACAGGTAGTAAAATAAATATACATACTGATGTGTACAGATATAAATGAGTGCTAATAAACATATATCGTCGTATTGACGAGCTCGACGGTCCTGCTGGATGACGCTGTCTTTTCTCAGTGAAGTTCTGGTATGTGTGCTCCTTTTCTCTTGCTGCATTTGAGGAAATTGCCTCCAGTTTAAGTTGTGTAGCTCATACATAAATAAAGCTGTGTCTTAGGACTGTCTTGTCATGTTTTATGGAACAGCGTACAAGGTATTTGGGTATAATTAGGCATGTCCCGATTCGATCTCAGCGATCGGTATCGGCACCGATCAAGGCATTTTTTAACTGATCGGTATCGGCTCTATTGAACTCTCTCTGCTGTCTCTGTCCTCCTCGCTGAGCTCTGTTTGTGTGAGAGCAGAGGCAGCCTCGCCCGCTGCGAACAAGTAGCCAATAAGCGTAATTAAAGAAAGCAATCCGCGCAAAATACGTAGAGACGACAGAAATAAACACTCAGCAGAATACAGACAGTTTATTCAGGTAACTCAGATAAAGACTTTATTGTGTAAAGAAAAACGCTTAACTTAACTTTTCTTAACGCAGTGCAGAGCTCTTTAATCGTGAAGCACATACATTGGATTGATTTTAATAACTTTAATGTACTTGAAGTGTGCACTGTGCTCTGTTTTATCTAAAAAATTAAATATTTATATTATATTATAAGTATTTTGACTAACTGCTCACTCCACTTGATGATGGCTGGAGTGAGTGCTACTGGGCGGCAGTCATTCAGGCAGACAGCTTTGGCCTTTTTTGGGGACAGAGACGATTGAGGTCTTTTGGAAACATAAGATACGTTCAGATATATTACCGGAGTGTAACATTTAGGAGGATCCATTGGCAGAAATACGCTCATTAGTGTATAATCATTATAGTATAATCACCTGTAAATAAGAATCATGTCTTCAAGCATCGTAGGTTCTCTGAGTGAGTTGATAGATGGCACTAAATCCAACACTGGAGCTTTTTTTTAAGTCACTGAACAGAAAATAAATTAAAACCAGCCGCGGCTTTCTGGAGAACATTGTGGAATATTCTTGATTTTCTCTAACATACATACTCACGATGATAACGTACCGTAATAGGTTTAAGAAAAGCATTCTGTACAAGAGAAAGCTGATTAATAATAATTTAAATAAATTAAAATAATTAAAATAAAATGATCGCCAGTTCTTGAGTGAGTTACTGAAAAGCCTTTCTACCTTTAACCACTCACTTCCTTTCAGATATAGACCTTGAGAACTGGTTTTGAAGCACGCTGCTTCTGTCTGGTCAGATTCCTCTCCACCCACATGAGCCACAGTAGGGCTGTTTCTTCACTTGGCACAGCTTTATATATCCATTTGATTTCTTAATGGAATTTGTATTATTTATGATTCTGTGGCAGTCGGGACAAAACTGCAGGCGTACCACAAATGGCCCCACGAAGCAGAGACGCTGAGGTTTTCTCCCGGCATTCACACGAATTACTTTTTGTTCTACGAGAAACTGTCAGCGTATGGTATAAGTTTACATTCTGGGCAAGGGAAGGAAATTCTTCGCTGACAGCCGTAGTTGACATCAAACACACTAATTGTGTAAAAAGCATCATTATCCAAAGGTATGGGAGCTGGCCTGGAGTTGCACGCCTGCTGAGCAGCGTTTCAGGCAGCTTTTTCCACTGGCTGCACTGAAGTAATGTCAATTCAAGCTTTTCCCACTTTAACCGGCAGTATTGTGTTGTTTTGTTCTTATAATACAGACTGATTATTTAAATAAAGTCTGAGGTTAAGTTGATTAACCAGTGAAGGGTTTTCACCGCCAACATTGTCACCTGTTTACGATTAACGTGGTAACATTGGAGGTATGGAGAAATCACTGTAATAGCAGCTTGTATTATTGAATTCAATCAAATGTAAGCTTTTGGTTCACCCTAATATTACTGAACACAGTTGTATCCCTAAACTGAACTGGGAGTACGTGAAGACATTTAGAAGAGCTGTTTTTAGTTTACAGTGAATCTGTGGGTTTAGCCTCGAATAAATAAAGTCAGTCTTGCTGGTGCTCGTCATGTCCCGTCCAGTTCAAGCTTGATTTATTTGAGGTTTGAGTTGCAGATGTCTGAGACAAATATGATAATGAGGAAGAAAAATAAACAGTAGCACACAACTTGCATGGAACAGATTAGGGACTCCCGCACAGAGGGATCTTCTCTCTATAATATCCAGCTCACATATAAAGGGATTATACATTTATTGATCTGTTGTAGATGCCCAACAAAAACTGATTATGATAAATAACTGTATAAACACCAACACCTGCAGTGAACAGGCTTAAAGCAGAGCTGTAGTGCCGGTATTTCTCCTTTTATTACCTACATTAATGCCACTGAAACGGTTCTTTAACGTGACCCTTGACTGCTGGTGTTTATGATGCTCACATGTATTTGTATCTGTGGCATAACGTTTGCCTTTAATTTGCCCTCAGTGATCTAGTTTTCGTCTCTTTGCCTGTAAATGCCAGTCGGCCTCCGAAGCTGTGGAATGTAAATAAAACGGCATGACGAGCGAGGTCAACCTCCTAATGAGGGCCACCGAAGAATGCGGAAGAATAAGTGGCGGAGAAGAAAGGAAGCTCAAACAGAGAGAAAGGACAGAGGTGAAGATGGCAAGGAAGGAAACCCTGCTGCAGTGTAAACCAGGCTATATTAAAATATTGAATTACAGCATTTAGTTTACTTACACTGAGTTTGTAGTGGTGCAGTCAGAGAAAGGGAAAACTGCGTGAACATATACAGTAGTAATACATGTCTTTTATTGTGGAGGATCGTTGATTTTCCTCCACATCTTCCCCGTTAAAAGTTTCTTTTTCCGTCGGGGTTTTAGCTCCGAGCCATCTGTGGATCTGCGACCGAGGAATTGATCAAAAGTGGCGTCTCCTCTCCTGGTTCTTCATCTTGCTGGTTCCTCATGATCAGATCACATGAAAGGCAAACTGGAGTTAAACACCTACACACAAGGTTGACATTTACAGCAGATCTACATATCATTTACATGTATTTTCTGCACACAGTTTGTGTCCACATGTGCTTGTGTGCTACGTTATTCAAGCTTTTATTATTGTTTTACTTTTCTTGAAGTTTTGAGAAGTGCAAATCATTTATTAACAACCCTCGCCGACATGCTCACAGGTGCATAATTGAGCTTGTGCTGGAGTTAAGCTTTCCTGCCGTAGTTGGAGCTCTACAGAGTTTCACCAGCTGTCCAGCCTGAGGAAACGAAAGGCGAAACTGCTGTGTCCGATTTCTCACCTTCAGTCAAGCCCACACACACTGAATCTCCACAAACACACTCCTCCTAGCAGAGAGCGTTTACCCATCTCGAGCCTTGCAGCGTGAGCCAAGCAGTTAAGGGTGGGAGGGGTGACATAGCCGAGGATCAGCCAACCCTCCTCACGCTCTGCACGTAGCACAACCATTAAAATACTGCTCCCGCTGGAGGGAGGCCAGGAGTCAAAGTTTACAGCCGTTCACTCTTCTCTTCAGCTCCGGTCCCACCCCTCTTCTTTCTCTGTCTGTGCCTCTTTCCCTCTGTCTTTTACACACACACAGAAAAGCTTACTGTATTGCCTTTTAGTGACAGGAAGCCCTTTGTCAGTTTGCGTGCCCCTTACCCGCCTCTATTCCCAGCAGCCGTTTCTTCTGAGCCCCACCCTTGTTTCGTTTTTTTTTGTTTTTTTTTAAATCGATAAAGCAGTTCGTCAGCTCTGTGCAGCCGCAGCAAGACTCCCCACCTCCCCTTGTCTTTATGTTGTTCTTTTGGCTTTGAAGGCCCTGATATTGTGCATTCCAGTGGTAACCTGCATCGCTCAAAAGATGTGAGCACAATGTGGACTGACGCAGGCAACTACGGACAGATGCGCAGGAAAATAAGATTCAGACGTATGTGTGATGTAAATGATTTAATTAGTTTTTTTTTTGCTCTCAATGAGCCTTGCAAGATTCTGCACGCACAGATTTTGCAATACAGTTATATAGAACAATGACACAAACCTTTCAGACGTAGTTTTAATTAGTTGATTCTGTCCAAATATCCTATCATATCTCTGTGGTAGGGATAACTTATCAACATTTAACTTTATTTTGCTTGGCATGCGACCAAGTGAAGGAGTTTAGTCTGCTGTGAGTGTTTATAATAATGTTGCTATGGTTTATGTTGATCCAAGTGCGAGGAAGAATGTGGAGGAACTTGCCTTTTGTTTGTCATATCACTGCTTAGACACGGTGCATGAGGGCTGAATCTGCCCTCTGCATTTGTGCACGTTCGCTGCACGCCTCCTCCTCCACGTCAGAAAAGATGCACAGTGTGGTGGTGTTGGTTGTAATCTCCAGTGCTTGTGGTCTAATATCTGATATACTACATGCAGTCTGATATCACAGGCCCTGTAGGAACTGAATGATTGAAGATTATGAAGACTTTTTTTCACTCTTCAAAATGTATGTCTTATGTCTTTTCATGTCTGCCATGGAAGTCTTATTTCTGAAGAAAAGACAGACTGCGTCCTCCCGGCATTATGCGAGTCACCACTCGTGTGAGTGTCTTATTCCCAGGGGAACTTGCAGCGCTGTACGAGTGCGTTCGCTCGCTGTTTACACCAAGAAGTTTACAAGAGCTCATAGGGGTTCACTGCCAACACCCAAGCAGATCATGCAAGTCTTAATAGAGCAGGAAAAGGCAAGGGGAAGTTGACGTGCAGCGCGATATCTCCGGTTTATTTCCTCGCTAGTTTAAAGTTTATAATGAGGCAGCTGTGTTGTGTCAGTGTCTGCTTGTGTCAGTCTTAGTGCAGGTGAGGCGAGAACAATGCAATCTGACTGTGCCAAGACCGTCTGCTGCATCCACATCACGGGCAAACGAAGGCAAATCTGAGCTGCTTCGGCTCTAAATCACTGGATACACGCCGGCAGTTGCATTTGCACCAATGTGCACAATCTGAAAGTGACCTCGACGGTTCCTTCTTTATGTTCCTGCTGTACTGTACTGATCTGTTCAACGACACGTGGGAGATTGTATGCGTACGTTTGTGCTTTCGTCACAACGTATCTGCTTTTTTTTTAACTAATCATGCTTTTTCATCTTCCTGTCTTCAGGCAATGGTGGCATGTTACCCTGGAAACGGGACAGGATACGTGCGCCATGTGGATAACCCCAATGGCGACGGGCGGTGTGTGACATGCATATATTACCTTAATAAAGACTGGACTGCCAAGGTATGTGAGCGATATGTGGAGGAAATAATGTTCATCAGTGTTTATTGATTTGAATTTTAACTTTTTATTTTATTTTGTTGTTTCTAATTTAGCTGGATTCAATTGTGATTTCACTAAACCATCACTGACCATCAAAACAAAATCATTTGCAGAAAGGCCTTGTGTCTGGTCTTCATATTCCACCTGGATTTCCTGTCAGAAACACATGACCGTTCCTGTCACTGTGGAGTCCGTGTTATAGGTTACGTGCCGGTACGTGCTGCTCGGCCACTCTCCCCGTTTATTATCCCATTAAAACTCAGAGAATCCCGCTAATCCAGCCACACCCAGTCAGGGAGCAGAGCTGACCCCAGTGCTGTCTTTCACACATCCATTGTTCCTCCTGCAGGAAAGTGGATTCACAGGAAGACATTGATCTCTTACAATGGTAGTTTCACTTTAATCACTGTAAAATTACTATTTATCAAATAATTATGGTGTTTTGATGAACTCGCCTGTGTTTTGCAGAAGAAATATTGATATAAAGGTAAAAAAAAAAATCAAATACAGGCATGCAACATTCATGCATTCAGATTAATAGAACAGCTCAGCATTGTACCTTATATGTAAAGGGCCAATGTGTACGTTTTCAGGATGTATTGGTAGAAATCAAGGCATAAATGGGATATAATATTTCCCTTCCACAGTGCCACGTTGCACCGCCATGTTTCTACAGTAGCCCAGAACGCACAAACCAAACACCGGCTCTAAATGGGGCCTTTTGCGAGTGGTATTCAGTTGGTAGCAGTCTGGCAACCTAACTACTAGATGTCACTAAATCCTACACAGTGGAGCTTTTTTAAGGGTTGTCAAAGATGAGACAATTTTAAGCAATAAAATACTAAAATCAACATCAAAACAAAACTGCATTTAATCCAAGCACCTCATAAAGCAGATAGATAAACCCTCACAGCTCTCTTTTTTCTTCCTCTATATTCATATATTGTCCTATATATCCCCAGTATCGCCAGGTTTCCAGTTTTTGTCATAGAGGAAAATGCTGGCTCCACTGTAACCGCTATAAGTGTTTAGCGGTTACTGTTATTGGACAAGTAGTTAAGGAATCACCTCTTGAATATGAGACAGATAAGCAGGACGATAAAGGCCAGTAAGTAATGATATAATGTCTTTATAATAGAAAGTAACAACTGTAGGACAGAATGGTGGTTTTCCGAGGACTTTACAAGACTCATAAGTAGAGATTGTCTCCCAGATTTCCTCAAATAGTTGACCTCCAGACCTGCATATGAAAATTACGTAATTACAGGAAACTCTGCTTTGCCTCTGGATACTAGTTTGTGGTCGAATACAGCCCATGCATCCTACCACAAACATGCATAAGTCTGCTTTCTGAGAACTAAACCCAGTATGACCATTATTAGCTGTCATCACACAAGCAATGGGCAGTTTGAATGCAGTGATATTGGGGACC